AATTTCAAAATAAAATTAGAAATTTTCTTTTGAATTTTTTGTTATTCCTCTGTACTAGTAATGAAAAAATTTAAAAGAAAATTTCTAATTTTGTTTTGAAATTATGTTTTAGATTATTATTTCTATTTATTTTAAGATTTCACAAATGAAGAAATGTTAACAATAATTTCTAGTTTTTGTATAAAGAAAATTACAAATTTTGTTTATAATTTTTGCTGGTCAAAAATGGTAAGATAAATTTCAAATAATGTTTTACATTATGTAAGTTATTTTTTAGAGTAAGAAATTGTGAAATGCCTCATGTGTTCCTTTCTTGTCATGACGACTATTTACCAAATGCGGTCGTCCAATGTTGTTCAAGCTGCACTTGCAGAAATTGATGCTGGTAAAGCGCTCATCTGCTACATTCCTGTCCGAACCCTGAGCTATTCCCGCTCTCAACTATGGTGACGGCGAAATATTAATCACTAGTACAGTTATGAACGACAAGTCTGATGACGCGCTGCACAAAACTCTGGCAAAGCTTGCTCATCTCGACCTGACGGGCCGCGTTCGATATGATGGTGCGATTATGAAAGCGACAGGCGGATACTGTGATGTGTTTGCTGGGACAGCAACCATTACTCCTAACGAAAATCAAGAAGACTCCGGGGCGGCGATTGTAATGAAAGTTGCAATTAAGCGACTTCGCATACACATTCAGAAAGATCGGGACTTTGAAAAGGTACGAGCACGAATTGATTCACGACATTCTCTTCTCTAAAGATATTCAAGGAAGGTCCTCGCTAAGGAACTCTACATCTGGTCAAGACTGGACCATACCAATATCCTACAGCTGCAAGGTTTCGTATTGGAAGGTGATTACCCTGTCGTGATTGCTGAATGGATGGAGAATGGAACACTCCGTGAATATCTGCAGAAGCGCACAGACTGTTCCGTTGAAGATATGGTAATCTTGCTTTATTCCTCTTCTGTCCATTGCATCAGCCTACTCTACCATCAGATACTAGGAATTGCCAATGGCGTCGACTATTTGCATAGACAAAATGTGGTGCATTCCGACCTGAAAGCAGTGAGAGATACACCTCTCTCGTCCGTTTGTATAATTTAGCCTTATTATTGTCGCCCAGGATAACGTGCTTGTCAATCATCTCGGTGATCCTCTTATATGCGATTTTGGCATTTCCCGGATGTTATCATCTACAGTGACATTTGCTGGTGCAACTTCTGGGGGAATCAAAGGATCGATGCGATGGATGGCATACGAACTTCTTGACTTCTCTAGTGACGGACATCATACAAAGGAATCGGACGTTTGGGCTTTTGGGATGACTGTTTATGTAAGTAGACACTAATCTTTCGTGTAATTACACTGAACAACGTTGAAAACGACAGGAAATTCTTACGAAACAGTTACCGTTTGCGGAATTAAGACACGACGGGCTTGTGATGCGTGCAATTGTGGAGGGTAGATTACCTTCAAGCCCTCCAGAGCTTGATTTGCAAAGAGCATATCTTCGGACGGTTTGGGATATCTGCAAGAAATGTTGGATAACTCCTGCAAAAGATCGGATCACCATGACGCAGGTGGTGGATGCCCTTAAGGCAGTCAAGCAGATCGATAACTCTGAAGAAAATGAAGGTAGGCTTCACCGATGCAGGATCATAGCTTTACTCCGCCTAATAAATTGAAACCTAGACAATTCGTCTCATCCTAACTCGGGTGCGATATCTATGCACGATAATTCATCGGACGATTCAGACACCAGACGAGTTGCTTACAATCACCAGGGTATGAATCCAGGCCACAAAGGTGTTCCCGACGTTCAAAATAAACCATCAAACGCCGCAAATCGTCCTTGGTGGGAAGTGGAATTACTCCCGCGATCCAACGAATCTATTTTACGCGAACGCGCTCGATACAAGCACGACTTTCCTGCCAGTTCAGATCCACGCAGCAAGCACATCCACCCACTACTCATCGATTCCCAATATACTCGCCTGGATTTCTCCTCTCGCCCTTTCTCTCCCCGAACAGTACCAAAAGGCAGCTGGATCTCGAGAGAATACGTGCCGATTTACCAAGGTTACTTGTCACAACCCGCTGTATACCCTTATACGAAAGAAATCAAGATAACGTGCACAAGTTTGGGGCAGTTCACGGAGGCGTGGGCGATACGGGTCAGACCGGATCGGACGGTTTCAGTTGGAGATGTTCTACGGTTGGCGTACGACCAATTACAGGCACCAATGACACACGCAGAATGGGCCAAGCTACCGGAAAAGGAGGAAAAGGAAGCCGCGAAAGCATTTACTCGTCGATGTCGTGAGTCGGAACTAGCAAGGGTCCAGGGTGTGAGAAGGGTGGATGTGCTCGGGAAGAAGAATTGGTTTGGCGGTTTGAGGAGAGTGCATGATGATGATCCGGTAAACTTCGAATTATTACTTGATGGAGAAGAGTAAATTGGAGGTAAATCGCAGCAAATGTATCTGTAACTTGGCAATAGGATCAGACATCACACCAACAATTGTAAAGAAAAGTATTAAAATTGATACACATTATGTAAAGCATGATTATTCCTGATGATTCGATCACCTCACTCGTCTCCCATCATGCTGCTTACTGACATCCGACTATGTACTCTGACGCTGATGCTACTGACACTTACTTCACAAACTCTACTCTGACAAGTGATAACTCTGATAGCACACTCTACAGAACGCTCAACAAGCTTTCTAAGTTCAATTTAACAGGCTGCATAAGATATTTCGATTCGGTTATGAAAGCAAGCAGTGGATATTGTGACGTCTTTTCCGGGCGTGTTACCATTGTTCCTAGAGAGTAAGAATTTATTAGGGTCTCTACTTGTCATGACTGTTGCTATTCCCTTGTAATACTAACTTATCTCTATTTCAGCTTCTTGCTAAAGAACTATATATCTGGTCAAAGCTCAATCATCCCAATATTCTACCTCTGCAAGGATTTGCTTTTGAAGGCGATTGTCCGGTTGTCATTTCTGAATGGATGTCAAATGGAGCTGTACAGGAATACTTGCAGAACTTTCCAGTGTGTAATATTGAGGACATAGTTAGTATTCCCTTCATACCTTACTTTCATGTCTCTTTCTTTCTGCAGACAGTAGTATGATTAATGTGTTAATTTATGCTAGATACTAGGGATCTCAAATGGCGTTGACTATTTACACAAGCAAGACGTGGTACACTCTAATCTTAAGGCTGTAAGTACTGTTCCTATCTGCTATGTCTGCCTTGGTGAACAAAATTTAGGACAATGTTCTTGTCAACCACTCTGGAGATCTGGTAATCAGTGATTTTGGCATCTCTCGGATGGTGTTCTGTACAGCAACCTTTGCTGTAGCAACTTCAGGAGGATCTAAAGGATTAACAAGATGGATAGTATTTGAACTCCTTAACCTGACAGGTGACAGTCATCATACAAAGGAGACAGACATGTGGGTGTTTAGTATGACTGTCTATGTATGCTAGCCATATTTTATGTGCAGGAGTTTTGTTAAATTCTCTCTAAATGACAGGAGATCCTTACAAAGGAGTTGCCTTACCCAAACCTTAAGTAAGGAAGAAAGGTGCCAAGATGCCTGTAGTGAGTCATACTCTTGTATTTAATACCTATATACAATATGTTGTAACCTCTGAGGTGTTCTTGAGTGAGGCTCTGGCCTTTACACTTTTTTTTGAACATTGCAAAATTTGGGGATTACCTCTCATCTACTGCCTTTCACTTGTACTACTGGATTGTCAGCCTCCCCCCAGCTTCCCCCTACATGTCCACTATCTACTACACATCTATAGTACTCTATAGTAAGACCCTAGTTAATTATGAGTGTTACAAATACTATACAGATATCCTGTTCTCTCTCAAGAGCTTATAGGGAGATTGTTACCACCTGCTGGCCAACCTTTAATCTCTCAACAGACCCTCATCAGAGGTCCTGGGCTTCTGGGAGAATGTACTATAAAGATTGTATATGGTTGTGCTAGAGTAGAGTATGTTGTACATTATTGTGAGTCTGGTCAGCTGTCTACAATTAAGGTTCTGCTACTCAAGAATATACTTTACTGTACTACTTTAAGCAGATTATCTACAGACTTGCTCTTGCTCATAACTTTTCTGCCACTCATTATGATCTCAAGCTAGTGTCTAGAAACAAGCTGTAGAAGCCCCTACTATCCTATTCCTGAAATTGTTCAAGGAGAACACTATCTTAGTACTACTACAGAGATTAGAAGCTACTATACAATTGCTCTACTAGAACACTGTCAAGAAACAAGCTACAGAAGGACCTACTATCCTAGTCCTGAAATTACACAAGGAAGTACTATCTTAATACTGTTACTAATATCTGAAACTGTAGTGTAATTCTCTTCAGGAGCTACAGGTTCTATACTGACAGATACTGTCTACTTTTAGTATAACAGACATTATAGTTAAGCTGTCAACTATAGTATATTTATTGTATACTTGTTATACCTACTACAATATGTATCTCTCTATTGTTAAAGTGTTTGTCAAGACTGTCTATTCCTTACTATACTATCTCTTGCTCTGTCACTGTCTAGTGTCTACTATTATTGTTTACTGTTTACTAAGAGTATAAAGTCCCTTTCCCTTCCCTTCCTGTTTCCTAGAGTATAAAGCCCTGTTTCTAGTTGTGGACCTAGTTAGGGTACTAAGCCTCTACTAGTGTCAATTCCAGTCCTAGACATATAGGGCCTCTACTAGTATTACCTCCTGTTTTCTAGAGTATAAAGTCCCTTTTCTAGTTGTAGACCTAGTTAGGGTACTAAGCTCCTACTAGTGTCAACTCTAGTCCTAAATGTCTAGAGCCTCTACTAGTATCACCTTTAGTCTTAGACCTAGCTAGAGTATTAAGTCCCTACTAGTGTCATTCTTAGTTACAAACCTAGTTAGGAATTATACTCTACTAGTATTATCTAGTCCTTTCCTGTCCTGTCCTGTTCTGTCCTGTCCTGTCCTGTCCTGTCCTGTCCTGTCCTGTCCTGTCCTGTTCTGTCCTGTCCTGTCCTGTCCTGTCCTGTCCTGTCCTGTCCTGTCCTGTCCTGTCCTGTCCTGTCCTGTCCTGTCCTGTCCTGTCCTGTCCTGTCCTGTCCTGTCCCCCTTTGTCCTTCTAGTATGAACAGACTCTCTGTTGTCTCTACATACTTTGTTTTACCTACACACTACTTGTACTCTCATTACTCTCAGAATTAGTGTGTCAATTTTGTCAACCTAGTCCTTCTACTCCTCCTAGTACTA